AACAGAATTTGAGGTCGAGATCTCCGTGTCAATTCTGAGGATGATAACAGTATGGAAAAATGAGTGGTTCTAAAGTTTATTGTCGATTCCTCGAGATGAACGGATTATTATGCTAACAGAAGAAGCACATTGTCAAAATAAGTTCATCTGACTCTGCAACATTTCTCAACCCCTTTGTAAGGCATCGATGACAAAGCATCGATTCATCATATCATTCATTTTTTTCTTCGTTAAGTATTTTCAAGTACTACTACGGTATTATAAAAAAACAGTTTTTAAGCCAGATATGATCAAAAATGGAAATGTTTTCTTGCATGAATAAAAAGTGCCTTTCGAAGATGATTGATAATTGATAACTGATGATTGGTGATTGATGATTGGTGATTGACGATTGATGATTGATGATCGATGATCGATGATTGATGATTGGTGATTGATGAATTATGATTGGTGATTGATGAATGATGATTGGTGATTGATGAATGATGATTGGTGATTGGTGAATGATGACTGATGATTGATAATTGATGAATGGTGATTGGTGATTCATGGTGATGATTGATGATTGATGATTGATCATGATGATGATTATTGATGACTGATTAATGATGATGATTGATGGTTATTGATGATTGATGAATGATGATTGATGAATGATGATTGATTATTGATGATGTTGATGATTGATGAATGATGATTGGTGAATGGTGATTGATGAATTATGATTGATGATGATTGGTGATTAACGGTGATTATGATTGATGGTTGGTGACTGATAGTGTGATTTATGACGATGATGATAATGATGACGATAATGGCGATGATGATGATGAGAGATCCAACCTTTTTACCCTTATTTTCGATTCCATACTCAAATCCTCAAATAATTAACATTTGACCTCTGCGTTCTTTGCTTCAACTCTTTTAAGTGCTGTAAAATTAGGACTTATTCTGAAAAAAAAACGCGAGAAAAATGACTTTCAATTCTCTCACTTACCTATCTATCCCATGTAAGAATTATTGAAATTTGCCAATTTTTTTTTGGAATTTATGTATTTTGAAATGTTTGGTTGAAATAATTTAAGTGGTTTTATGACAGAACTGATTAGTTAGGCTGTAACTTAGCTAGAAAACCTCAAATTCCTAATTTGCTTGAATTAAAGATTTGAAAAGAAAAAAGGTTCTTTGTAGGTTCTTATATGCTCATGGTAAAGAAATGATGAATTTATTAGCTCTTCTGGGAAGCTTATAGATGAAGAAGTATTCATTTTCAATATATCTCTGAAAAAAATGTTATTTAGATGTACAATTTCGGTCCAACCAAATGGATTTGGATAACAGTAGACCGTTTTTTAAACAACCATAAAGAGTTTACACACATCAAAAAGTAAAAAAATAAACAAACTGGGAGTGCACTAGCCTTAAATCAGAAGTTCTTATGACCAGTACAGATTACTACCGCTTTTTTGGATTTTTTGGTTGTTAATGTAATGATACATAGATACTTGCAAAATATCTGGAATGTGTCCAGCAATGAAGAGGACAAAGAAACGGGAAATGACATATAATTTTTACAAAAATAGCCAGTCCCGAATCTTTCGTTTGGCTGAGTTCAAGACAGACTATTCATCCAATATTAAGGACTTTACCTTTTTGGCTGTATGTTAGGCAACCATTAAGGAATATGTGTAAGTACGATTGGAGTAAGAGGTTAGTTGACATCAGGTAATGCGCACAAGTTTTGATTGATAAAAAAATACAAAAAACACATGCTGTTATTCGAAATATTTTTAAAAATGAGCAACCGGAGTTTTGAATTCCTTCACAAACACATACATACCATTAGCTTTTCTTGCTAATAACTCTCGGTCACTTACTTATAAAATTGTTTAGATTACTTGCAAAACTGAATAATGAAATCATTGGATCAAGTAGCTTGTGCCACGTTATAGTAAAACTATCGGATCATTGTCGAATAAGTCATTTCTCTTGTGTTATTTGCTTTACTTGAAGAAGTTGGAAAGTTATTATTATTGTATAACCAATATTTCGATTTTAAATTTGGATGAAATTTTAAAAAAAGGCAGAAGACAAAATAAGTGAGAAAAATGCAATAAAATGTTTACATGATGCCAAAAGGTAATATTTTCTTTGAGGATGAATCATTTTGACGACCAAAACTATTTCAAAGATGGGAAATTTTGGCATTTTAAGGTTACAAAAGACCAAAAATATCTTGTATGACTGGATAAATTAAAATTTCCACTTTAAAAGTAACTCGGGAAAGTTTGAAGTAGGAATGTCGCTCTTAGCCTTCCTTTCCTTTTCGTTCGTTTATGCTGACCACATCTTTGTCACCTTTAAAGTTAATATACAAGTCCCATCTTTCGCTTTAATTTGCTTTCTTGTTCACTACGTAATGCCTGTGATGTAATGAATTTCGGTTCAACTCCACGTTGTCAGTGTGTTAATGGTGGTTACGCGTTGTTAAAATATAAGCGGATATCGACATATAATCGTAGAATCGAGCAATAAAACAAGCCCTGACGTGTTTGCAATATAGCACAATTTGAGTGGCATAAGATTTCACATTCAGATACAGAAAATGTGACAAGCGTAGTGTTATTAAATATCCATCCTTACATGATTTAAATAAAGAGAATTATTTAAATTGAAATTTTTTGCAGTCAATTCCGCCATATCAAATAATCCTACCATTGTGACAAAATGAACGAAAGTGGAAGTGAAATGAAATCATTTTGAAAAATCAGACGGTTTACAGTTGAATATGACAGTTGTTGTACCTATGACGAATTAATGAAAGCTCTGCATTCGTATGAACCCACATTTCAAGGCGTTCTTTCTTGGAAAGGTTAATCGATTTTCCAATATCAAACAAATCGAAGATCTCAACATTCCGCCCGAAGTTTTAGATCACAGATGGTTCAAAGAAGAAGACAATATACTGCTCATCAGACCTTATTCAAAGAAGCTTTCTTCCCTTTCTTGTAGTCATTGAGCTATTTTAGTTTTAAAAATAAATAGGTTGAACTAAAGTTGAAGTGAGAGTAAAATAATGTCAATTGAAGAAGAAAAGGAGAAGGAAAAGGAAAATACTAAATTTCAATACGACAGAGTTTGCTTGACATTAATATGTGTATATTTATGTACAACTGAAATGCAACTGATTCTTGTAACTGATTCTAAAATGCAATTGGTTCTTGCAACTGATTCTAAAATGCAACTGGTTCTTGCAACTGATTCTAAAATGCAACTGATTCTAAAATGCAACTGGTTCTTGCAACTGATTCTAAAATGCAATTGGTTCTTGCAACTGATTCTAAAATGCAACTGGTTCTTGCAACTGATTCTAAATGCAACTGATTCTTGTAACTGATTCTAAAATGCAATTGGTTCTTGCAACTGATTCTAAAATGCAACTGGTTCTTGCAACTGATTCTAAAATGCAACTGATTCTAAAATGCAACTGGTTCTTGCAACTGATTCTAAAATGCAATTGGTTCTTGCAACTGATTCTAAAATGCAACTGGTTCTTGCAACTGATTCTTGCAACTGATTTTTTTTCATCATTTAATTAAACATTGCAGACAGCGAAAACGATTCGGTGCTAAATTCATCGAATGAGCTCAATTTGGCTTTGAAACACAAATCTGACAAGTTTGTGCGTCTCAATAGCATCGGTGTAAAAAAATTTTTTACTCTAAACAGCTACATTGAAAAATTTTCACTTTATTTTCGTTCTTCATAGCTCTAAAATGTCATTTTAAAAGTAACTGGTATGACTGAGGAAGATGGCAAATCTTGAAATATGTTAAATCTCTTTGATAATTGAAAGTTAGGAAAATCATTTTATCTGTTCTGCTAACACAATTTCAGGTGACAGATTCTGAAGCAACCATTGGTGCATCACATTGGTACATGTACGGAGCTATTTTCAATTTCTAAAAAGCCATATATTTTGTTGATTACTAAGATGCCCATCATGCAAAGTTCTTAAATTGATGTTTTATTTATTTTTTCCTCTTTTCCTTTTTTTTTTTAATGACCACAATGTGTCGAGTACTTTGATCCACTGGACTTCACTGTTCATTACAAATAATTTTCACCAAAAATGCAACTGAGTAAACGTGCTGTTGAAGTAACACAAAGCAATGGGTGCATGCAGTAAAACTGTCAACAATCCAAAGCAGAACAATCTAGTCCATACATAAGATTGATAACAGGAAGTGAACAGTCTCGATAATCATAGCGGTCCATCTTTGAGGAACTTTAAGAATGACTGTCAAAAACACCCGAAGAAACCTCCGAAAGGACTCACAAGATTGCAATTATTTCTTTTTCTGATTGTTATCTTCGTAAATTATTTTCAGGCGCAAAGGGAAATTTTTACGAGACAACTGCTTGGTAACAAAGAAATCAAAATCGAAGTTGACCCTAATCCTTCTTCGGAAGAAAGGGAATCAGACCTATCAAAACAGCTTACAAAAAAGCAAAAGATGTGGCCGATTGTCATCATTGGTAAGTATAAGCCTGAAGTTGATGGAACTAAATAACTGAGAATCAAATAGACAAGGAGAAAATAGAGGAAACAACAATAATAATAATAATATGAGCAGTGGCAGCAACAACAACAACAATGCCGACAATAGTATCAACAAACATTGAATTTTATAAGTTTTTTTGAATTGATTTACTCTCTATTCTCCGTGAATATTTGGTATTGGAGAGGAAAATAAACGATAAAGCATTGTAGTAATGTGCAACCCAACAGGAATCAATAGATAAAAAGACAATTTTCGGCTTAATTCCACATTCTAACAAATACTTCAATGAAATGTTCAATAAGAATAGTTATTTAAAACAATGACGAGAATATAACATTAACAATGATCATACCTGTTATGATAATACTTAGCTGATGCATAACTTCAAAGCCATCATCGACAGGCTTGCTTTCAACCACCTTTGTCAATTCCTCATTAGATGGTGATGGTACTATTCGGTCGATCTTCCTTATTAGCATCAAATTTTAGCCCATAGCAGTGAGTGACGGAAAAATCAAAGCAGTGGCATGAAGATATTAAAGATGATACCATTAATGTAGAGTGAATTTTTTTTGAAGAACTGAAAATGAAGTGACACTAACAAGCACAAATATGAGATCTTGTTTCCCATCAGATCAAAATTATAATAATGATTGTAAGTGAACTGCATATAACTTCAATTAAATTGAGTTTTCATCGTTTAAAGAGCATATAAAAAATTCAGAAACTTTCTCCTCTAGTATCTTTAGGATATCCAGCATATTTCAACAAGGCTTTTTTTTTGGATTTGGGAATTAATTTCACTTGTCGCAGGAAAATTTTCCTTTAACCTTTCACCTATTCCATTTCACATAAACAAAAGATTCGCTTGGGTTGAATTAGAAACTTTGCAATCTAGCATTCTTCGAGAAAAAAAATTCCACTTTCCAGTCTGAATTTTGCACACTTTTAAAAATATTTCATTGTCTATAGACAGACGATACGTTTAGTTCGATGAATCTTTTTGCAATAAAATTTCCTGATCGGCTAGTAAGTTGAGTTAAGTGTGTCGATTGGCGTTCAGAAGTGGTATCACAAGTTTTTATTTAAATATATTAAAGCATATGTACTTTGGAGAAAGTTTAATAGCTCGGTTTGAATGGGAATAGGAAGGATTGCAATTCCGGGTGGGTGCTGAGTTTGAGAAAAGTTTAGCGGAATGATGGGTTGCTTGGTTAGTGTGGACGAAGGATAAAAAGGAAGGAACACTTTCTGAAAAGCGCACAGATGCTATCATTTATTTTCCCCTCCACTTCCTTTCCCTCCTTTCACTTCCAATTCATCGATATCTTCCACCATCATTCACATCGGTTTATACTTATACTCATTGTATTTTATTTCAATAAAAGTTATTTTGGTTTTCAAATTTAAAATCTGAAGCAGATTTGAGAGCTGTAAGCAGATAGTAATAGCAGTTTCCGAAATCGAACAGGATATAATTTCGGATGAGTCTTCGTAATATTTAAATGGATCAAGCATGCCAATGAACGGAATGAAGATTAGAAAAGGAAACACTCTCTTTGATTTAAATTAAAAAACAAAGGTTAAAGCAAGGGGATTAAGCCATTTCTTTCTTAACAAAACTTAGATTGGACAATGGAAAAATGCGAAGGAAAAGAATTATTGAGGTCATCATGATTCGAATATTACTGAGGGGTCAAAACTCATTCATATAATATATGAGTTTATATGAGTAAAAATTTAATGCCAGTTGACAAGGTTTCCGCAGTCTGTTATTGCATTACGAAAGTTCTTTTCGCTTTTCTTTTCTCAATTTATGCAAACCTTTTTGAGAAGGAAAAAAAAATGTCATCGTCATCGACCTCCAAAAGCGGATGGATGGTAACGGACAGTTCAGTAAGTCGCGCAGGAAGAGGGACAGGAAGAAAACGAACACTTTTTTGCGGGAGAAGCGTCAAATATTCAACCTCGAAAACATTTTGTACACCCCTTTCTCTCGTGTCCTCTGATTTTTCGCATCCATTTTCGTGATTTTTATCTTTTTTACCCATTTTAAATGAGCATAGCAAAAACATAGTATCGAACTGAGAGAAGACACCAATTTCGGAGACTATCCTTTCGTTCATTTCTTTTTCAAATTCACTAAAATCTAGAAAAATTCTTTTAATCATGACTAATATTTAGGAATATATTCAAATTAGTCATCCTTTCACTGTAAAATAGGGTATCAGCTCTTAGAGCAATGCTTCGAACTTCCTCAAATCGGTATGAATTTAAATACATAACATTTAGAAAAAAAGAAATTAGCAGATAATTTGAAATCAATGATCAGTTAATACGTCTGCTTCAAGCAGTTATCTTCGACTCCTTTTTACTTTCAAGAAGTAAATGAAAATTTCAATTTGAACTAATTTCAATTCCATTCTGATCACTAACAGATATATAAATGATTAAAGGCATAAACAAGCACTGAAAAAAACAAAACTCTAATCTTCCCTTTATTACAGCATATATTTAAATGACAAATTTCATCAGCGACAACATTCAATAATCGAATAGTTGGTACACTTACTCGAGAAAACCCTCTATCACTATAACCATCTTTGAAACAGCCGAGGTGAGGTAGAACAGAAAAGGAAGAGATGAGATTTCTTGATACTTGTTCCTTCTTTCTAGGATGGATAGCAAACTAACAGCAGTAGTTCTCCGTATTCATCGAAAATGGTAGTCGTTCAAATCCACGAGTATTCACTCTACCCACCTATAATTTTATAATTTTAATCCATCAACATACATAACTAAAGAATCCTTTTCACCACCCACATGCTCACACAAAATGTTCTCATTTTTTTGGCATTACGTTATACAAATTATGTCTGTCACATGATTTGGTCCTCCCTAATTTTACCCAGTATACTGCTATTATCGCTGTAATAGCAAAGTTTTGTAAGGTTTTATGTGATAAATTACGGCTAAGTTCCAAGAAAAGGGTTTTTGATAAACAGTATTATGGTTCGCTATCAATATGAAATGAGATTTATTCAATTCAGCAATTTAAGGACCATCTTTGCCAAATTCACTTCAGGAACTCTATAATCATATCCCAATTATTTATGGCACTTCATGTTTTCTCAGCATTCTGATGTCCAACTTCGATAATATTCAACCACTTCCATACTCACATTGCTTTTTCAAGAGTGTACCTTGTCAGATATCAGTAAAACAGAAAATAGGGAAATTAAAATTTAAAAAATTTCATGAGATTTTGATTTTCTTTCTTCTTAACCTATCTTGCTACTTTCTTACTTATTTTACATCTTACTATTCTTAAAACTACAGACTCTTGCGCCTTAGTTTGTTAGCTGTTAAATTATGTAACCACTATTATTACTCATTGATGAACATTATTCATTTTAAGAAAATTTTCGTATTTTATATAAAAGACATTGGTACATGCCAAATGGATGAACTAAAAACAGAAGGACAGGCAAACAGAAATTGTGGATAGGATCGGTGATATGGTAGCAGTGTTACCCTTTTCTTCCCGAAAACTATCCATTATTTGCTCTGGCGGGTGTCAAAACTTCGATTTCACTCTATTTTCATCAATCTTCTACTTTTTCATTTTTTAGCTTCAAAAAAAAAAAAGGGAAAAAACCTTGCGGGCAGACGATAGGACTGATGTTTGAACTCCCAAATCAACTCTGAAAACTTCTCTTCTCTTTCCACTCTAAACCAAGTTGAGGTGGATAAGCATTAGAACTCTGAGTAATTTCTGCCTTCAACTTCATACTAAAACTATGTCATAATTTTGACCTTTAAACTATTGCCAGTGTATGTTTACTTGGCCTTTGTCAGTATACCTTTGATAGCACTCGTTAAATCGTTAGCATTCAGTTCTCCATGCATAACTTTACTTTGACTTTCAAACTGCCTTCAACAAATCAGATTATACAGCTAATGCAAAGTTAGATTTCAAAATGTATTTCGAAAGCTAACTGATGTAGTTAGTGTGCGGCTCTCAATCGGTATGAATGTGTTTGCGGGTGGTATGGATGTGAATCACCGGTGGAGCAACTATTGTAGGAAAGCCGGCGAAGTGGGACGATAACCCCAGCAGACATTATCATCGAATCAGCTGCAACAGCCTCAATCAAAGGTATTTAGTCTCTTTTTAGTCAAAATACTTCCCCACTTCCTTTTTTTTATATTGTAATAGTCAAATTCTTAACCACTGAAGTATCAATAATTTAATCACATTGCTCATATAGTGCAGCTTTAAGAGATTCTGTAAGATGATTCAGTTTGAAAGCATCTGAAGATGAACATGAAACCTTGCTGAAAATAGGTATTGATCCCGTAAATGAAGAGCCATGTAACCATGACATGGTAAGATTAATGTAGGAAAAGAAAATGAAGGGAGAATTATTTACAGAAAGAGTTACAGAAAAGGGCTACATTCTTCACACTTATGCTTATCAATGGCATCAAATAACGAGTGATATTATACAATGTACTTTATAAATACGTGCGATTTAAGAAACCATGACTTTATAATTGTTGAATCAAAAATGATATATCATACTGATTCGTATTACGTTTGCATAGGAGATTTTTAGCATCCAGGGAGAAGGTGATGATGATGATGATGATGATGATGATGATGATGATGATGATGATGATGATGATGATGATGATGATGATGATGATGATGATGATGATGATGATGA